CCTTATTTCTGGGAAACTGCACCACTTTTCACAGATAAGCGTATGAACTTCACTTCATCAACCTCCTGGATACAGAAATTCATGGACTCAATATAGACATTGGAATTATGACACACTACAACCTGCATCTGACTCCCCAGCTACCTCTCTACCTTTACCTGCTACATCCCCCTTCCCCCCTACCCCAGCCCATCTCTCACCCCCTGATGCCTCCATTTCCATTTTCACTGACTGGCTTTCTTGCCTGCATTGCATGCCAACCTCTACCTTCTTTACTATTCCTTCCATCCAGGAAGAGCACACACACACACCAACTGCAGGAGATTCCTCAGCCTGACAAAGGGTTTTCAACTGGGAGTGGAGTGATTCTAGGGCTGTGCAAAACACTTGTGTTTAGTTTCGGTTTCAGATTTGGCATTTCAACAGGACAGCAATTCATTTCAGCATTTCAAATCGCTGTTTCATTTCATTTAGGCTGAAACTGTTCTGAGTTTCGATGCTGTTTCGACGCTGTTTTGGTGTTTCGGCCATAGACTATGATGGGGAATGACTAAAATGCCTATAACTTTGTCATTTCGTGCCTGATTCTGATGAAAATTGCAGGAATGGTAGCACCCTCTGAGGCCATGACAGCTGCCAGCTTTCAAGGGGATAGGTGCAGGGGTTTCTGGGAAACTGCACCTCAAGGTGCTGACAAGCAAAACTTGTGTCATGTGTGTGTTAAGGCGTAGTGGAATTAAAAAAAGCAGGCATGGTAAGCCCTGCTGAGGCCATGAATCCTGCCAGGTTTCAAGGAGATAGGTGCAGGGGTTTCTGGGAAGCTGCAGTTTGTCACGGAGTAGGGTCCCTAGAGATGGCTGTGATACCCCTAGCGCCCTGTGACCGTGCCAGCTCCGCCCTGCAGGTGTCTTCTCTTTTCACTTGCTGCCACATCTGGTTGGAAAAGATAATAGATAGGGAGGCTGCCCTGAGGCTTCAGCTCAGTCACAGTCCTAATGGATCCCACTAAACCCCGTAGGTTCTCGGACCCCTTGCTGGGACCTGCGCTAAGTAGTTAAAAATTATTCTACATACACCAGTAAATCTCACATTGGTTTACTGATTGTGTTTCCACTCCCCTAGACAATTTTGTCAGAAGAAAGGTCCATTTGCAGCTATTAAATGGAACTATTAAAATATATCCTTTGACACCCCTAAACCAATGATGGTTGATGCAGAGAGGGTATGACAAGGAATTGAGGGATCATTCTAGACATACGCTGTTCATATACTCTCCCTCTAAAACACCTACTACTAGTCACTCAGAAGCAGGATAATAGGCTTTGATGTACCATTAATCTGACGCAGTATGGAACTTCTTATGTTCTTATTCCCAGAAAGCCCTTTGCTCAGTGCAAGCCAGCTTTCTCAATACCTGGTGTTCAAGTGTGCAATAGTGCCTGGTGAGGGAAGCCACACTGGAAGAGCTTCCTGCTATAGAAAAAAATTTACCCTGGAGTAAAATCCATAGCAGTTATGCCATGTGTCTGCACCCTGAAACATCTGTAAGAGCAACAACACCATTGGAACTTAATGACATAATTTTCAGCAAAAAGGTGAACATGCATAGAGACTGGACTAGCCTTTAACTAGCTATGTTCCATCCAGGGTAGCAGGGAGAAAGTTGTTCTACTACAGTTAATGTTTCATATGATTTAGGATTAAATATAGGAGTCCAATTCCAGGACTGTCAATCAAACACCTTTTGTAATCATTAAATTCATCTTAAGTGCTAAAGAAAGTAAATTAAAAACAAGTAATTAAATGTTCATAAAAGCTGATTTTAAAAAGTTCAGCATGTGACCTTTTTGGTAGGTTGATTTTATCTCATACAGATTTACTCAGCAAAGCTGAAAACATAAGATGAATGCAAGGCTGTCTTCTGAACAGACACCGGAGATAACCCTGTGAGCTCACCCGTCTATTTAAAACTGTCTCATTGATGATAATTAGGAACACATTTCCAGATCAAAGTACAGGAATTTTGACAGTGTTTGTGTTAATGGGAATTAAACAACTACACCATCCCCAATGCCTATCTGTCACAGAAGATGCTCCCCAACACAAAGGTACATGCTATCCTATTTAACCAAAAAAAATCCATAACCAAACAAAGGAATTTCCCATTCATGGGGTATAAAACCATATAACAAAAATGTCTTTCCTTTTTCTTGCATATAATAAATCAGATAACAAGTATTTTCTTTTCAGGATTTATCCAAAGTTTTAAAATTTACTATATATTTAACTGATATTCTCACAATCTTAATTTGTTTGCTTTCTTTTCTTTAAGGCCCATCTCTGGGAATCTTCTGATTATGTGCAAGCTTCTTTAAAAGAAACGCTAATATCAAAAAATATATCAACACTGCACCACATAGCTAAAGATACCCAAACAGCTCCTCATGACCTAGCTGTGATACTGGAAGTAACCAGATCCTACCCAGGCTACGTTACCATGCTCCTCAACTCATACCACAGTGGGCCATGAAAATATACCCTAAAAGTTTCTAGTTCTCATGGTTTAGAATCTTGGGACATGTGTAAATGATCGGGAGCCCTAGGGAGGGGAGGGTGAGCTGCCAGTGGGTGGAGCGGTCCCTGGGCTGCAGGGGGGGGCTGGTGCTTCCCTCCACGGCAGTGGCAACCCCCGCCTCCCCCGGGGAACCACCTGCAGGCACTCAGCTTGGGCAGTCCCAGCGGGCACTGCAGCCGCGGAGGGAAGCACCGGGCCCCCACACAGTTCAGGCAGGCAGGCTTCTGGGGGCTAGGCGGGGGAGAGATCAGGATCCCCGCTTTTTTTTTTTCCTTGGGCAGAGCCTGCCTTCCTGGGCTGCTGCCAGGCTTCCTGCAGAGCTGCATGGAGCCCAGTGCTTCGCTCTGCGGCTGTAGGGGCAGCAAACGAAAACTCCGAGAAGGAGTTTTCATTTGCTGCGCCCCAAGTCATTTAAAGTGCATTATGCTGCCGAATTTGCTACAGCAGCTGGAGTTAATGTGCAATACACCACCAACACATGCAAACACCAACACCATTAAAGCAGTGCAAAAGTATTTAACCCACTTTAAAATGATATGCACACAAACCCCTCATTTTGTCTACACAGAGCCTTGGACATAACACTTAAAAAAGCAGAAGGTAAATCCATCCTCCCCCCATTTTTTTTTATTTCTTCAAAACCTTGTAATTCCAGAAGTCTGACTCAAGACATTTAAACACACTGACACTGCTTAGCAAGTACCATAAAGTTAAAGTTCTCCTCTTTTGGGTTCAAGCAGAAAAGCAGCTTGAGGTCAAGTCCAATCTTTACTTCTTACTAGATTGCCAGGGCTTGCTTTATCTGGGCCCCACATCACAGTATTATCTTCCTACTCAAGAAGAACTGGAAAGAATTCCCTGCTGAGCCTGTCAGTAATGCTCCTTAATCAATGTCACCATCAAGTTGATGGGAAATCTTATCACCCTTCCACCACAGCCTCCATGTAGTGTTTCTGCAGTCCTCTAAACTCCTCCTGATCTGACTAACAAAAGGCTGGGGCTGAAAAATCAAACTCGGGTCACCTGAATAGCAGATATAGTAACATACATGCCATCTATTCAATCTGCATGCTGCATGACTCACACTCCCTATGCTTTCTGCCACAGTAATTACCACAGTATTTCTAACAGTACACTGGTGGCCTCTGATTTAAAATATTGTAGATACACAGGTGTTGGAGATCAAGAAAAGATTAAATGGGGAATGTCAGCTTCACCAGCTGCAAAAAGTCAGGGATCTAGCCCTTGAGGCTACAGACTGAGGTGAATGGCATATTGTAAAACGGTTAGCAGAAGGCTACTAACCCCAGAAAAATACAAACCCTGATCCTGCAACCAGAACCCAGCAACAACTCTACCCTGTGTCTAAATGGAATTTAGGAGTTTGCAAAGGTGCAAACAGGGCCAAATTAATCCTTTAGTAGGCCCTAGGCAACCAAACTTGTGGACCCCTACTTTTTTCACTCAATAATTATAATATGTAAAATAAGCACAACTGGGACCCTTCTTCACCTAGGGCCCTAGACACATATGTAGTTTGCCTATGTGTTAATCTGTCCCTGGGTGCAAACATCCTGGGTAGTAGTAGCCTTAAAACAGATAAAAGGAAGATGCCATTGCATCAGGGTTCTACCCAGCCAAAAACAACAGGGTGTTTCACATTTAAGAAAAAATTACTTCTACACGTGCTTCAAGTGGAGTCATGTGTATGCCAGTGCTAATCTGGCTACCCCTGGTACAGCAGGAGTGAAGACACAGCAGTTTAAACCAGCATGTTGTAATCAGAGGTCCTCGTCAGAGGCTACTAGCGTTGCTGGGCTATGTTGCCACGTCTTGGGTCCTCTTGATCCCTGGGTAACCCAGGACGAAGCAAGACCATATCCACCTGAAGTGCCACCAGGCCCAAAGCCTGCTCTTCTCACTGCCTGGTTCCTGTAGTTGCAGACTGAGATGCCCAGGTCTTTTCTTTCTTAAAGGGAGCATAGGCCTGGATGCCTTGCAAGGGGACTTGGATAATGTGACTCCTAAGAGCAGGGCAAGAGAGAGGTGGCAACCAGGCGCCCTGCTCTCATAATGGTGGGCTCTGACCCTCCTCATGTGGAGGGAGAGATTTGAGTCCGGAGCCCAGGCAATGCCATACGCTCTGGGACCGGGGGACGTGTGTGGGGGAACGGAGGGAGGAGTGGCCCTTGGCTTCTCCACCACAAGCAGCTCCGTGAGGGGCAGAATACTAGACTTGGGGGTGCCAGGAGCAGAATTGGGGGTTCTGCCCCTTCCCGCTCAGCCCCTGCCTCGTGCCTAGAAACTGCAGGCTTTGCTGGGGGGGGGTCTGACACCAGCCCCCACGGCACGGAGGGAAGGAGGGAGCAGGGCATCACCCGCGCTGACCCCGCCCCCAGTACGCTGAGCTCGGCAGCAGCAGCTGCAGCAACTTGTGGCGCCCAGGCCCCGGTGGCCACGTGACGGCTGCGAGTGGACGGCCAGCCCGCCCGCCTGCCCAAAGGCCGGGGGCAGGGTAGAGCTTTGAGCGTGTTCGCCCGCTACAGCTGCACGGCTCCGCTCAGGTGAGGCATGGCGGGGGTATTCTGGCGCCTCTCTCCCCCGGCGCGATCTGCCTCCGGAGAAGCACTCTCGGGCTTGTGCTTGGCCCAGCCGGAGGGGGCTGGGGACTGGCCCAGCTTTTGCAGCCCTGCTGCCTCGTAGCAGATCTGCTGCCACCGGCGACATCCCCTCTCTGCCGCTGTCCTGGCGCTCTGGGGCAAGAGCAGCCGGGGGAAGCGGGAAGGAATTGTAAGATCAGGGCTTGTCTTTTATTTTCAGCCGATTCTTCTTAAACGCTTGTCCGAGCGTGCTGGATTGAAGTCCCAGGTCTTCACGTGGATGCTGAGCTCGTGAAGCATCGTCCCCACGCATTCGAGGCAGATCTTGCCTGGGTCAGGCTTTGAGAACAAAAAAAAAATCTTGTCGGTGTGGCCCAGGAGCTTGGCGAGCTGGACTGTCCCGGGTGAGAGGAGGAAGCGGCATTGGAGGAGTGTGAAGAACAGGTACCTCTGGCAGAAAGCTGGGAATTGATGTCTAGGGTCTTTTTGGCTATTAAATCTAAGACAGCATGTGTCAAAATTGTTTGCTATACAACTTTTTTCCTATAAAGCTACGTGTTTTGTTTTGTCTTTGTCGAAAGTCGGTCTCCTTGTTCAACCGGTTATTAAGGGCGCTGATGTGATGCTTCTGGATGGGAGAGGGGTTTTTCTTTGTTCTTGTCTGCCGTATTCTTCTTGGTACTCCGAACATCCTCAGAGTTTGAGTCGGGGCTTAAGCATATTTATGTTCTGGATATGGATGAGGAGCTGTCACGGTGAAAATCAAACCCTGCTCTTAATAGATTATTTAGGTACTTGTAAAAGATCCTGTGCTTGAAACATGGTAACAGCTGTAACTTAGCATGTGCTTGATTTGTGTTTACACACTAGTGGAGTAGCGGTCCATGCATGAACAAAAACATCGTATTCTTGGCCCTGGAAAGATTTTTTTTCCCTGAAGTATTTATGGATGGCAGACAGCATTCATGGAGTACAAAGATCCATCCAGTAAAGCTGACTTATCTGTATCACTGGGGGTGGAGAAGGTAGACTGTGATCAGGGCAGCCAAGCAAGGTAGTTATTTATCTGTTGCTCCAAACAGGCTATTAATTGCACAGGTAGCTTGGAAGGAAATCTAGGGTTATAGCTTTGGGAAGGGCATAGAAAATCTACTTGTGCTTCTGACTGAGGGAATCTTTACCAGCAGCTGCTGCACAATCTCTGTGTTTGTTTTAACCAAGCAGACAGTGTAGCTGTGAAGATAATCTTCCAAATGCAAACAGGTGCAGTGCCGTCTTTCTGATTTTCTGAACAGGCTGCTCCAATTCGGCAGATGTAGAAAACAGAAGAGTGAAATCAACAAGATTTTTTTTTTTTTTGGTTGATTTCAATATTAAGCCTTTGAGAAAGTTAAGAGAAACTGTTGGGAATCCTATCAATATTGTGCTGCTAATTCTTGGGAAAATTGTGAGATGCAGAAGCAAAACCAGAGGCTAAAGTTATTGACTAAGTAGAACACAACCCCCCAAATCAGACTCTGTAGAAGGGGAGAGTAGTAAAGACTTCTATTCTTCCTCCCTAGTTCCTTACAGTTGTCAGCAGGCTCTGAAGAAAGAGTTGTGTATTAGGAGATGGAGAGAAAGCTCATACTTTCTTATAGTAGAAGAGAGTGGAACTTCAAATTTATAATGCACCTGACTAGGTGAAAGTCAGTACTGAGTGCATGTGCAGGTTCCAAGTACAGCATGTTCATAGGAATCCCAGGACCTTTCCCTTTCCTGGTGGCTGGATGGGATGTAGAAGAGGTCATACTTTAGCTTCTATTCAGGACACCCACAACTCAAATGCCATTTCTGCAAGTAATCCAATACTTTGTGTGGGTTTTATGTCTGAAGGGAAACCTTGGGTAAGGCTGTGTTGTTAAAACTTAAATACTGAGGGGCAAAGACCTAACTCGTATCTTTCCTTTAAGAGAATAATTTCCCTGCTGCAGAGCAAATGATTGGGTTTATACACAAACCTAGTGATGTCCTAGATCAACACTGACCAAAGGGTATTCTCCCTTTGAATTGAATTGAACCCAGAAGCCAAGCACTGCATATAGACTTTTGTGTTTGTGTTAATAGTGGCCCATCAACAATGACTGCCACAAGACACCCCTCCCCTTCCCCCACAAGATTTCCCCCATGGATGGGGGAAGGACTCATAATGGTGATGAATTGATCCCACCTTGAGCTCTACAAGGCTGGGATGAGGTAGTTGCAGGCCTGGCTTACCCATTCCCATTCTCTCCTGGCTTCCTACTTACCATCTTTTCTTCTGCAGAACACACATCACAGCTTGCTGGGTACTACTCAGGTGGCAGACTTCTCACTTTTACAAAGGAGGGGAAGATCTATGGCTCTTGAAAGTACAATCAGGCTCACTACCATGATCAGCCTGTCTCTCATTTGAAGCCCTAATAGGATTGCTTTTACCCCCTTTGGTTTTAAATCTATTTCTGTAAAATGGAAATAATTGGGTAGTGTCTTATAAGCAGGTAAGATTGCAGTTAAAGTGGATTTTTTTTTTATCATAACTGTTTTCCTTCAACAACTGAGTTGACTTCACTTACAAACAGCATAACAGCTAAAATCCATCTTGCTCCTGCAAGTAGGGGATTCTTAATTTGGCCATTAGTAGGACAGGAGTAGAAATAATTATTGATTATTCTTGAAAAGAAATTCTGAATGAGCTAAATGTTTCTGGTGGAACTTGCAGAGTTAAGATGAAATAGAATTTTAATGAATCTAATATACCTATGGATGTCACCGAGGGGAAACTGGAGAGAGATTATTAGAAAACTGGTAAGCAAGACTTTGGGAAGGAAAAAGCAAATAACCCTACATAATACAGAGATATGTTCAGGATCTCTTGTTCACGGCTACATTGGACAGTGAGCTTGCTCCTCAGCTGTTACAGCTCCCTAGTGTTCAAAACTCGTGTTCAGGAACAGATGAATTGGTAACAGCTGTTTTAGAAATGGGGCAATATGGGAATAAAGGGAACAAAATAATATTTGTATGTAGTTCAAAGATGCATTTTTATAACAGGACAATTTGATAATCCAGCAGTGATGCATGCCAGATCATATTGTATGTTATTTTTGTGCACTTGTGTGAGTTTCAGAGAAGGTAGTGATTTCAAGAATTTCTTGGGGAATTGTGTTTTTGATAAAGAACATGGAGAGAGGGAAAGAGAGAATGAGAAAAATATATTGGATATGCTGGAAGGATTGCAGTAGTTTGCACAGTGGGTCTCCATGAGGTTACTTGGACAGGTGATGAGAGGTGACTAGCTCTGCTGCCACTAATACACAAGTGGCACGCAGCATTTTATCTTGCTTTCCATGGATATATCCAGTGCCTTTGTAAGCATGGGATTTAGCCTTTCAGACCAAAAGCTTCTAGGCAGTTGCAGATGTCGCTGATCAGAAAAACAATGCAGACCACAATTCTTGAATTGAAGATGCCTGCCTTTTGTCATCTCTTACCAAACTGTTGTGTAACCTCTGAATACTATTTCAGAGGTTTAGCAAGCTCCTGCAGTGCCCTTCCCACTGGAGGGGGGAGAGGGGACAGTCTTACCTGTTTCGGCCCTCTCTGCACTTTAGGAACAGCTGCAGCTGCTGCCTTAGTAGTATGAGCACAGGATGATGCTTCAGCTGAGGAACAAGCTTACTGTATACCAGCTGCAGCAGAAGCACCAGAATCTCCTGCCCCTCTCCCCCACCTCCCTCAAATTCTTTGCTATGCAGGTGCTGCTTCATGCCACCCAGCCATAGAAGCCAGGCAGCCCTGTGCTCTAGTTTATAGGTGTTGCTCCCTGCTCCCATACACTAAGGTGTAGGGCTGCCTAGCTTCTACAGCTGAGTAGTGCAGGACTGTGTCTGCATAGCAAAAACTCTCAGGGTGTCTCCTCTAAGTTGGCATTCAGGCTGGGTGCCTACCCTGGTTACGCTACTGTACTGTTTGATGTGTTGAGACTTCCTGGTATCAGGGCAGAAAATTTGTTGCTTCCAGTTTTAGCTGTTGGAAAATTTCTGCTCTTCCTGCTAGATGACAAATATCTGGATTACTGTGACCTGAATGTCATCTCCAGGCTGCTCTACTATAATTCACTGAATCTAGGACAAAAGCTAAAAGCAATACAGATGCTCCAGCTTGTGTAGAATCAGGAGGCTCTCCCCTTTGTATGTTCCAGGGAAAGCCAGACTAAAAGGGAACCTCACTACCACCGGGCCTACTGCCAGGTCCTCTTCCAGGTTAAAAGTATAATCCCTTACAAGGATTAAGGTGAAGAACAGAAAAATTCCATGAAGTCTACTAGCGATGAAACAATAAAGATCTAATTTCCCTGTGCAGCAGCTTGATATAGTAGTGTCGGGTTTCACAAAAAGCCCTAAGGTGGAGCATATATATATTGACTTTACTTCAAAATGGCATGCTGCCAATTTACTTTATCTAGTTTCTTCTGATTGACTTAATATATATACACAGATGCATTCAGCTGACCTGTTTACTCATTTTTTCTCAAGAACAGGTGGCTCTAGTGGTTAAATTGTGTTAGCATTGACATCAGGTCACCCTGCATTTGCATAGGTTAAAATATTGTTTCCATCAAAAAGAGGATAGGTTTGTTTTCCAAGATAAAATAAATCACTAGAGATGCCATTGGCACCGAGTATGATATTATTTAACCTGACCATGATAAAAGTTATGTCATACTTTTTTCTGCAGGGGAACTACACTAAAGAAACAGAGGAGAGGCTGCATAACACAAGTGGGTTTTTGAACAAGCATTTTACAATGGATATGAGCACTACTTTCTCTTCTGGTGAAGTGAGTATTTCCAGAAAAAATATAAATTCTCACTTAGTTTATTGTGTCTATTGCAGTTTATTGACAATAGACTGCAATTGTCTATTGCATGTCTTGGGACATGCATCTTCTAAAGCAGTTTAGAGAATATATTTATCACGAGCATTTAGAAAACCACAAAACCTTCAGAATAAATCTGCTGGCAGATGGCATTTCAGCAACATACAAAGAAAGTGTACCCACTATAAGGAAAAGTATTTAACATTCAGAGTCCTGTCCAAGGCCCACTGAAGTGATGGGCATCTCTTTAAAGCACATTGAAGTTGCTTGAAGCGGTTCTCTGTATTGGAAGCTATTACTTAACTAGGGAGTCCTGCAAGCCACTCAACCTCTTGCATCCCTGGCGACAGCCACATGCATTTTAGAAAATAAAAAAAATTAACAGTAGTAGTATTATACGAAAGAAATAAAGGTAGTTCTGTAAACCAATATTTAATTTTACATACCACAGTGTATATATAAATGGCTATTGTGAAATGTTTTGATTCATCCCAACGTAATTCATCTGAAAAACGGATTAATAGCAGCAAATAGTAGTATTTTTTTTCTTTCCTATGCAATTCACGGAAGTAACAAAGGACCTACCATATCTCCATCTCTCCTCACTTTCCATCTCGTTTACCCAACACACTGGTAATTTACAGGATAATATTGCTCTTAAAGAACTAAGAGACTTTTAAAGGGAAAATCCTCAAGTTTCCATTAATTTGGAGAATCTAAACAACTAGGTGCCTAACTTGAGATCTCAGTTCCTGGGGGGTTTTTTGTTTGTTTGCTTGTTTTGTTTGGGGCCATGCATCTCATTATTAATTAGAATTGTCATTGCTTAACACTTTAAAAAAAGCAAGGCCCTATATACCTCATGTTTTGATATTTACCATAATAGGAACACACAATTAGAGGACACTTCTGAAAGTAGATTTAAATTAATTGCAGCATGACAAAAGTTCCCATCTTTCCTGGGTCCCAGTTTGCCAAAGGCTGGGCAAGCTCCCAAAGGGGCCCCAAATCAGATGGGTACCCACATGCATGGTATCTGAGAGGCACAAAGTTTATTGAAGGCCATACATACCTAGGTCAGTCTGAAATCACTTTCTCACTGGGGTCATGTAACCCTTTCCACCTGCCATTTGCTTCAATTCTTGTGGTTTTACAGGTTCTACTTCATAGTTACATGCCATGTTCTAGGCCTTTTTGTTGTAGACACATCTTTGCGGTCATCTCACATACTTGCACATCTCTGTAGAGAATTTGGTCCTAAATAAAGAGGAATCCATGGTAACATTTAAACAAATACTTTCCAATCTTCTCTGGAAAGTAATTTTGGGCCAAATTTATCTCTGGGGCAACACGGCTAGTTCCATTTGGGTTACACTTGAGATGAATTGGATTCCTTTAATCCTTCTTTCTTTGTGTGTTTGCAGTAGTAGTTCCCACTAGCAACACTATAATTAAGGAACTTTCACCACTTCTATAATAATAGCACACAGTTGTTCTGGCCATAAATGTGCAGCTAGAAACTTAACGTGAAAATAAATGGGCTTCCCCTATTTTAAATTGAAATGGGGGAGGGGAATGTTTGATTTGCTCTTGCAACTTGGATATAGCTTAGCAGAAACTTTCAGGCAATTGTCATACTTCTAAATGTTTGTATCTTTGTCTAAAAATCCTTATTGATAAAGAAAACACTTGAATAACAGTTGTTAGATGCTTAAACATGTTAAAAATGTACATGCTCACAGACTTTTTTGCTTCAGGTGTAGAAATAGATGTAGTTGGATGCAGTTGACTCTGATTAACTTTTTTGTCCTTTCTACTGACTTGGAGAATTTTTTTTTTTTTAATTGACATATCACATAGGTTTATGAGTAAATTACTTCTGTAATACATGTTGATTTGCCAGCATGACTTCACTGATCAGTACAAGAAACCACAATGACATTGGAGCACTCTTTAGGATTTGGTTAAAGGTCCCTAAATACCAATTCAAATAACAGACCATAATGGCTACTGCTACTGTTAATGTTTTAAATTATGTCTTGTGAGTCTAAATTCTGTTCTTGGATATCTAAAGGCTGGAGCAACATGGTTGTGAATGTGTAAATAGCTTGGCATACATTCTTCTCTCACCCAGCCAAGTAATCCAAATGTATAACATACTTGCATAGCCCCTGAAGCTCTCAAACCTACATCTCTTTCCTAATCTACATTGCCACCCTTTGGTGATAATGGAGACAGCAGTAAGAGATAGTAAATTCCAGACCCAGTGGTCAATAAGCTGTGGAGACTCCATAGAGTGTACAATAGAATGGAAGTGTGCTCCCAAATTGCAGCATCTATGTGAAAGAGGAAGAGAGCCATTTCGGGTACCTGTTCCCCCCACACACTATTAGGAAGAGGAGAATACTGCTAGCATGCACACACAACCCATCAAAATACATTCTCTGTGTCAAAGTTAGAAGCCTGTCCTGGTCTCCTTTCCTGCTTATTTCATGCCACAGAAAATGGGCACTTGCCAAAGCTCTACAACCATTTGCACAGTTCCAAGTCGCATTACAAGTGCATATGCAGCACATGCAGCCACTCATCTCACTTTCTACAGACTAATGCACGTGCGCTCACTCAAATGTACACTTTCTCACAAAACCCAGGCGTCTGGGACACGCATGCACGTGTGTGTGTGTGTGTGTGTGTGTGTGTGCGCGCGCGCGCGCACACACGACTCGGGCATGGCCCCCCCAACTCTCACACTTCTCAAAGATCTTGAATAACCTATGTTGTTGCACCATGTAATAGAGATGATTTCATCCTCAGAAGTGTGCGATTCAAGGCCTTGACTACATGAAGGAAAATTAATACTGGTATAACTAGCTCAATGTTGATACACTGTTGTAAACTCCTAATGGGTTGCACTGCTGGAGTGTAATACAATCCAGTAATATATTGAATTTAGCTCCTGCTTTGAACCAGTACAAGGTCTATGTTTAAGGGACAAACTGATGTGGTTAAACTAGCATGAATGGTCGTAATACAGCCAGACCCTGTTTATTGTGAAACTCCGGGTTTCAAAAGAACAGATCAGTATAACAGGTGTTTCAGGATTAACTCTGAATTTGCAGGCTTTTCATAGGATAAAGCCCTGATACTGCTACTCATGTGTAATCATATCAAGGATGTACAGGACTATGCCCTTCTCAAGGAGATGATTAAAGCACTGAAGAAATACTTTAATCTTAATTTGTTTACCCAAACTGTTTTTAAGGTAGCATGTTCAGTGAAGAAAATAGTCAAGTGGAAGATAGCAGTGAGGCATTGATGCATTTCATTGATTAAATGATGCCTTGTATTCATTGTTTAAAATTGCATAACCTTGCTCACTTCATTCATTAACAGAGAATTTAAAGAGCTGTCTGTTGTAACTAATATCTTCAGGTTTTCTATTTTGATTAAGGTTACAAAACTGCTCTGAAACAACTGAGGTACTGGAAGTATTTCCACTGATTACTGCAAGTTTGAATCAGACTGTAAGAACATAGATGGGAACCTTTTCTTTCCTGTGGCAGTGAGATGCTCTACGGTAAATTGTATTTGACAAGGCTGTTTCCCAAAGATTAACAATGGTTAGATTAAGCTGCCCTTGATTCTACCGTTTAATCCAACACTGCTGGTTTGGTATTTGGAACAAAACATGGCAGGGTTACTGGACACTGTTCTTATCTTTTAACAATAATTCAGAACCCATAACATTAATTTTTGACAACTGAATTTTTCTTCAGTTGCCATGAGAACTTCTATGAAGAAACTAGTAGCAGAAATCAGTAGGACCAGAGCAGCACTGGTATGTAAGTGGAGAGTTGCATAGCTAAACGTTGCACATACTTCTCAGGGATAACTTTCCTAGAAATATTTCAGCTTTTAAAAACTGCATTGATGGTATTGCATACCCATGTATGAATAAAGAGGGCTGTCTTAGTACCTTGAGTTGCTTGTAAAAGCCTGAAAAGAGAGAGCTTTTGAAATCTCCTAAAAATACCAAAGGAACTGTTCCATTCAAGATGCTCTTACATTTACTGAAACATCCTGAAGGAAGAGCTAGAAAAAAGGACTGTATATCCCAATGAAACTCCCCTTTCTTCTGTTATAAAACTCCCATTTCCAGCCCAGGAGGGTCTTAACATACCAGACCATTTTAAACTTGTCATTAGTGCAGGAGTGAAGTGTAGACTGGTCAGACTTCAAGTTAGTGCAAGTATAGCAGAAAGCCAGCACATGTGGTGTTAAAGAGAGAAATGCTGTTCTAACGCATTATCATTCTTTGTTGTATTTTCTTCCTTCTTTTGAAGCAAAGAGAGCCAGTTTTAAAGGCCTGAAATGCCAGGAAAGATTGTGCCTAAAGATGATTTAGTGAAGAGAGGTCAAAATAGAAAAATAGATGGTAGAAGTGTATCATAAGATGACATTGTTCTGCAGTTGTCACCTATAAATGGATAACAAGGTCCAGATGTGAAGTCAGGTCTGAGTACAGATTTCAGCACCGAGTTGGAGATTTCACATGTGTGCACATGATGAAGTAGCCCATTTGTGGCTATTAGATATGTGCATGTTCTCTCCAATGGCAAAAGAGAATTACTTTACTCTTAAAATGCTATACCTAATTTTCTATACATGCCACTCAAAAACAGGATTTTCCTGTTTGTTTTTTCTTTAATGGGCAAACTTTCATTGTTGCATTACACATGCTATTGGTTTCAGTTTTGTTTCGTACATTGTAAAGAAAAAAACACCATGCTTTTTATTTCATGACACTTTAGTAAGATCTAATAAATAGGATGCTCATAAAATGGGAAGCCACCAAAACTTGAAAATCGCTGATGCAACAAGAATCCCTAGGAAAAATTAGAGTGACCTTCGAATGCTACAAGGGAATCATTTCAACCGTACTCCCAGGGCAAGTGACAAAACAGCAAATGTTTGAGTACAAAACTCTCATAGTAGCTTGTTCTTATAGTTTGTTCATTGTTCAGAACTCTGCTAAGATTTATTAGTTCACATTCATGCACTCAGCCACCACGTCATATTTTGCATACTGATTGCATGCTGCCTTGACTAAAAAGGTCTGAACTCAATAGTAGAAATTTTGTTTATGTAATCAGAATTATACAAATGGCATGCAACTTGAAGTACAGATACTGAGTGGTAAACGAGTTTTAAGCATAATAATGTTTTGGGGGTTTTTTTATGCTGACTACTAGGGCTGAATTCAGACGTGCAGGCACATGCAGTTTGTGGCATTGCAAACCTCTTTGTGGTGCCACAAACCTCACATATTGAACATTAAACTATGTGTGGTGCTGCTAATTTGCTACCAGGATTTCCTGGTAGCAAATGAACCCTCGGGGGGGAAAGCCGCACAAAACGCACCAACGTGGTATGCGCTGGGACAAATGTGGAGACAGGGGACCCCCTGCACCTTGGTACCCTGCACCTCATTCAGCTGCTTGCCTCGAGACAGGGGAGCAGGCGGCCCTGGGGTGACTGCTCTTCTGTCTCTGTGTGCTTCAGCATAGGGGGTTCACTGTGGAGCCCTTGCACTTAGGGACATAGAGGTCCTGTGCTGGGGTGGTGTGCCTCAAAACCAGGGAGCAGCCAGCCCATCTCCACATGCCTCAACCTGGAGTCTCGGAACAGGTCGCTGGAGTGCAGGGTGCCTCAGTGTGGGGACTCCTCAGCATGCAGCGATGGGGGAGCAGACCGCCCATAGCTCCATGTGCTGCTCCCCAGCTGGCTGGGACACGGGGTACCTCAATGCAGAGGCTGCCTGCTGGCTAGCGCCGCAGTGGGGCACCTCGTGCCCCAGCTAGCCCCATCTGCAGCAGATAGAGCCCACTGCAAAGTGCACAGGCAGGGCCGTGCACTGTGTCACAAAGTATCAGCACAAATTACAGCACACCTACAGCCTAGGGAATGACCTGCTGGGTGGCACGGAAGTGGAAAGGGATCTTGGAGTCCTAGTGGACTCCAAGATGAACGTGAGTCGGCAGTGTGACGAAGCCATCAAAAAAGCCAATGGCACTTTATCGTGCATCAGCAGATGCATGATGAATAGGTCCAAGGAGGTGATACTTCCCCTCTATCGGGCGCTGGTCAGACCGCAGTTGGAGTACTGCATGCAATTCTGGGCGCCGCACTTCAAAAGGGATGCGGATAACCTGGAGAGGGTTCAGAGAAGGGCCACTCATATGGTTAAGGGCCTACAGACCAAGCCTTACGAGGAGAGACTAGAGAAACTGGACCTTTTCATCCTCCGCAAGAGAAGGTTGAGAGGCGACCTTGAGGCTGCCTATAAGTTCATCAGGGGGCACAGAAGGGAATTGGTGAGTATTTATTCACCAAGGCGCCCCCCGGGGTTACAAGAAATAATGGCCACAAGCTAGCAGAGAGCAGATTTAGACTGGACATTAGGAAGAACTTCTTCACAGTTAGAGTGGCCAGGGTCTGGAACGGGCTCCCAAGGGAGGTGGTGCTCTCCCCTACCCTGGGGGTCTTCAAGAGGAGGTTAGAGAGGCATCTGGCTGGGGTTATCTGAACCCAGCACACTTTCCCACCTATGCAGGGGGTCGGACTCGATGATCTATTGAGGTCCCTTCCAACCCTAACATCTATGAATTAGTGCCCCTACTATGTGTGCTGCTGCAAATGCATATCCCTACTCGTGTGGACACAGTCTTAGGAGGCAATTGGTGTGTTGTGTTGTGTTGTGTTGTGTTGTGTTGTGTTGTGTTGTGTTGTGTTGTTTTGTTTTGACATGACCCCCATCTTAATTGCTCTAAACTAACAAAACTTGCAGTTGGGACAAATCTGTTATGTGTAAATTCAATCCATGTGAGAACTAGACATTAAATAGTTAAATCTACCAACTTTGTGCTTGGACTTTGGACTTCAGACTTCATTGGGCTAACAGCTAGGAACAAAGCAAACCTGCCTCTCAGCAATTTAGTCTTGGTCTTGCTTTGAATTTTAGCCTTTATATAAATATGCTTGAAAATGAACAGGTAGAGGGGCTGATGAGGCTTAGAGAGGCTTCCTGGGAGGAGAAATTCTGGTGATGTAAATTAGGTGGGTTCCCTTCCTTAAAATTGACTGATTAAACACTGGGAGGAAATATAAGCTGGCATCCTAAAAGTAAATAGATTAAAATTCTATTAAAGCATGACCCTCTGCAGACTCAAGCCTTCTCCATGGGCTTCTTCAGTAGAAACTATATATACAAAAATTTATCTTCTCAAGATAGTATTGCTGTAGTGTTTAGATGCATACTGAAGTGTATGCATATGTATGTGATCAGCATTTTATGTTAAACCAATGGAAAGCATCTGGCAGTGTTTGGAATAACATGGTATGGTTATTGGCCACTTTTCTGAATTCTCATTAAAAGTTAAGAACCTATACAATTAATTTTTGACCACTGAATTTTTCCTGCATTTTATGAAAGATCCAGTAGCAGAAATCTTGCACAGGAACTGCTAATACCATAGCATTAACAAGTCCAGATGGTATATAAGGTGTATATACCTCTTGTTATATAAGGGGAGAGCTGCATATCTAAATATTACACTTACCTTCTCTGAAATAATTTTCCTAGAAATATTTCAGTTTTTAAATACTACAGCAGTGGTATTGCATATCCATGTATGTATAAAGCTAGGCTGTCTTGGTACCTATAGTAGTTTATAAAAGCCTGAAAGGTCTTGAAATATCTCCTAAAAAGTACCAAAAGAGCTACTTCATTTAGAATGACATTTACTGAAACATCCTGGACAAAGAGATGGAAGCAAGGAATGCTTGTCCCCCTGGAAAACTTCCTTTTCTGCTGTTATAAAACTTCTTCCAGCCTAAAGGCGTGCTAAGGCACCAGACTGCTTTATATTTGTTGTTAGTGCAGGAGTGCAAGCAGTGGTACTTCAACTCATTGTTATGGAGTTCAAGTCTGACACCTTGATAATTCTGTAGCGCCTCATTCATGGACTGCATTTAGAATTTAATAAATAATTCCTCAAAATAATGTTATTCTTAAACACCAATTATAAAATAATAGCATTTTTTTTCAATGCCAGTAATGCATAAAATAGAAAATACAAATTTTGTCTTGGACATTTTGATCTCTGAAAATTAGAAGATAATTTTGTGCTATCCTGTGGAAATGAATACAGCTAATTGGGTTGCATCATTTTGTAGTCGGTGGAGAACTGTTGATGTCATTGAACTAAAAGTATTCTTAGATCAAATGCTGAGCTCTATCCTTATGACACCATCAAGGGAGAAAATTCAGATTGTCAGCAGACTGTACAATACAATATAGTTTTTTAAAAGAATGCCAGTGATGAATGCATAAGTGGTTTGCTGTGGGAAAGATATGTTCTGAATACAAGCCCCTTAATGCAAAAGATTTATCGGTAGGAAATTACTTTTGAAGGATATAGATATAGATAAATGTATATTATTATATACAAATTAAAAATTCAAGACTTTAGTTCTTTTTATAAATTTTATAGGTAAAAATTAATGGATAATATACCA